ACTTACCTTTTTGCGAAAGGTCTTTCCCCTCCGTCGGTATGAGTGTACTATCTGTACCCTTACTGCCCTCCAGCGCAGCCTGGATCAATTTTGCTTGCAAATTGCGAGCCCTCATCGGTGACTGCACTGACCAATGAGAAGTGCTTCTTGGCATGGTTAAATAAGGTTTTGGTTAAAATTATTTTTTGTATCATAACAAATAGATTGGGCCCCTGCTTTAGTCCTTAGTATTTTTTTTATAAAAAACATTCCACAGCCCTGCATTTTAAAAAATCCTGACCATGATTTTATTGTACTACTATACATTCCCTTTACAGTAAATGTGTGCTCGGGTAAAGTATTAAAGTATTATTCTAGGGATCAGAAAGTAGGTTTCATTAAGTGGCTTTTTTTGTTACATGATTTCTTCTTGCGGCATCCTGACAGCCTCCCGAAATTCCTAAACCTGCAGTGACTTTTATACTATTTAATACTTTTTCACTAACCTGAAATAAGGCGATCAGGAGTTCTGTTTTTACTTAATACATTGGGGGGAATTTATCAAAACTGGAGCACACAAAATCTGGAGCACCTGTGCATGACAACCAATCAGCTTCTCTCTTCAGTTTCAAATCTAAACTGAACAGAGAAGTTGATTATTTGCCATGCACAGGTGCTCCAGATTTTGTCTACTCCAATCAGCTTCTCTCTTCAGTTTGTTCACTTAAGATTTGAAAATGAAAGAGAGAAGCTGAGTGGTTGAAATACACAGCTGCTCCAGATTTTGTCTGCTCCAGTTTTAATAAATTCCCCTCATTCTAGTTTCCGTCCAGTGACTCTGGACACCAGAGCCACTCAAGCAAGCCAGTCAAGTGATTGTTTATCACTTTAAGGCTTCATTCACACCAGACCATTTTCCCTGCACAGCCCCAACACAAGGCAGCTTGCCTTATGCGCTCCGTGCGCAACACCACATTGTGGTCTGCCCTGGGTCATGACATGGTACAAAAACATCTTACCGCACTGTGCCCATAGAACTTACTGAAATGTCACTTGTGACATTTTAATAAAGTTCTAGCTGCTGTGTGTTGCAGCATAGCTGCTAGTGTGAATGCAGCCCTATGCTTGCTTGCTCTTTCCACTATGGTGCACCAATATGCAGCACAGAGTCACTGACAAACATCATCCAAACATCTGCTTTCACAGTAAGTTTAGTTTGTTCTCTATCAATAGACTGTAGAAAATATTGAGCTACAAATACATTTATTAAGATATGGAATTGTGTTGTTGTTGTTTTCTCCAGTGTCCATAAGAGGCCTTGTAACTTTATTTTTTTTGGAGGTTTTCATGAATGTGTTTAATATTTTCACCTCCTGTAGTGTTTTTTTGTTTTTTAATAGAATATTTGTAATACTGTTTTATATCACTGTTAAAGCCTTTATTTTTGTGCTGAACATATTGTTCTCTCTTCCAGCTCTTACTCAAAGCGCTACTTTGCCTGGTGCGTCGCAGATACTAAGGCGCAGCGTAAGCATTGAGGATTATATAATACCAGCAAGCGCTGATAAATACAATGCCGAACAGGGATAATTATGCAAATGGCGGCAGCGGTAGTGGCAGCGAGGAATCGGCTTCAGCTGTGGATTATGTGTGCCGTGACTTCCTGCGTAATGTGTGCAAGCGTGGCAAGCGCTGCCGTTTCAAGCATCCAGATGCCGATGATGTGTCTGACCTTGGAGTGCAAAAGAATGAATTTGTTTTTTGCCATGATTTCCAGAATAAGGAATGTGTGCGTATTAACTGCAAATTCATTCATGGTACCAAGGATGATGAAGAGCATTACAAGAAAACAGGAGAGCTACCCCCTCGCTTGCGTAATAAGGTTGCAGCTGGACTTGGCTTGTCTCCTACAGACATAGCTAATAAAGATGAGATTCCCATCTGCAGGGATTTCCTGAAGGGCGATTGCCAGCGCGGCGAGAGGTGCAAGTTTCGGCATTTTCGCCACTTGCGGAGAGAGTTTGATTATCAGTATGAATATCCGAGTGAAAGTCGAAGTGGAGCTATGACTACAAGTACAGCTACTGGAAGTTTGTCTACACCCACAAGCCACACTTTTGAGCGTTATGGCTCCTATGAGGGCCTCTCCGAGCCAGAATACTATTCTTCCTCTTCGTATTATCGCTATGGGGATCGATTTGACGATCCAGTAATGAAGAGGAGGCGTATAGGTTATGATGGATACTATAATGTATCCCCAGTAGAATACCGCATGTTAGAGGAAGAGAATGTCATGCTTCGTAGGCGTGTTGAGGAGCTGAAAAAGCAAGTCTCTGTCTTGGCAGCAACTAACGAAGTATTGCTCGACCAGAATGCTCAGTTTCGTAGCCAAGCCAAAGTTGTCACACTTAGCACACTGAGCACCACAGCTCCAACTAGTGAACAGGCTGTAGGCACTGTAACTAACTACAACCATGGCATTGCACAAACACACACAACATTAAGTAGTCAGGCATTGCAGCCTCGAGCAGTTACTCAGCAGGAGTTGGTGGGTTCCACTGGTGCTCCTGCACCTTCCCAGAGCAATGCAGCTTCACAGTTAAATCCTGAAATTACACCACTTTCTGCTGCACTGGCACAAACAATTGCTCAAGGAATGGCACCTCCTGTTTCCATGGCACCAGTTGCAGTGTCTGTAGCGCCTGTGGCGGTTTCCATACCTGGGATCACAATGAGCCAGTGCACTACACCCATGGTATCCTATCCTATTGCTTCACAAAGCATGCGAATAACAGCCATGCCCCACTAGGATAGCTTAAGTACAATGGGGGGGGGGTGAGTTTATGAATACTGGAGCAGGCAGAATCTGGAGCAGTTGCTCACAGTAACCAATCTGCTTCTCTTTTATTTTTTAAAGCTTAACTGAAGAGAGAAGCTGATTTGTTGCTATGGACAACGTCTCCAGATTCTGTCCACTCCAGTTTTGATACATTCCCCCTGTGTATTTTCAGTGAGCATGTATTTTGAGGAGTTATGCTTACCTTAAAATCATTTTTGATGTGACTCACATTTTTATGCTCTTGTTGTATCATGTTTCCATTGTATTGCAAATTCCAATTAGATTTTTCCTCTAGTGCACAATACATAATAAGCTGGCCTCCTGATAATTGCTGCAGTCTTGGTCCAATAGACTTGTCAGTTAGGTTTACACTGAGGCATATGAAGGCAGAACCATTTCACAGAACTGCAAAGCAGGAAGTAACACCGGCATTTGTAATGAGCAAACATGGCTGCCCCACATGTATAATTACATACTTCACACAGAAACAATCATTTGACACATTAATACAGATCGACAACATTACATCAGGCTGTATATCTCCATAACAAATATACATATACAGTAAGCCTGGGAGGATAGAAGTATGGGTGCAGCCATTGTCATCTGTAATGTGAGATGAAGGCTACAGTGGCAAACATATCATTGAAAAAGCGTGCCTGGCAGTTGTGCTGATTTGTGGCTGTTCTGGATTTGGCTTGGTGCAGGAAATGGAGCCCGACGTAAACAACTCATTACTTTAGTTGGTCTCAAACAACATAGCAGCTATTGAGCTTGATGTAGCTCTAACCACTAATTCTACAACTCACCCACCAGTTGGAAGGGTGTTTTCAGCTGCTGTACATGCATTTGCAATATTCATCATGCCAATGTTTATTTTTGGGAGGAACAAATGCATGGGGGTACCATTAACCAGTCAGCAAATCTCAGCAGATCTATCAGTCCGTTTTCAGTTAGCAAAGCTACTAGATGGGAAATATCTGTCAGTAAATCTGAGCTAGCCACCAAATGTAACTGTAAATGATTAGTCGCTAAAAAGCAACTCATGAAAACTCACCTACTGGTGGAAGACACAAGGTCGGAGCATGTCCATGCTCTGGACTGCATTATAAAGATTGTCCCATGTACTCTGCAGGAATATACAGGCTGCAACAAATTAAAAGCTGCCATTCCCCCCCTGACATAGGTCAGTCTTCTGAGCTGTTCACTGAAGGGAGGGACATAGAGGACAGTGTAGAGGGGAAAGGAGCACAGAACTGGGTAATAGTGGCCTAAGAAATACTAAAGCATCAATCAATATTTATAAAAGGCATTTACAGTGAGAGGTTTGAAGTTGTGGGCAAAGTCTAGCATCTTTCCATGTCTGAGTGCTATGGATCCCAGAAAGAGAAACATGCCTTCTATTCATTAATTCAGGACCATGGTATGTGTGACTGGTGTGGCTCTTGTAAACTGATTTATATATAGTTTTATTTCTTTAATACATATATATGTTCATTTGGTGCCCTGTATATCGGCTTCAGATCATAAGAAGAAAATTCCTTGTTGGATAATAAAGATTTAACTTTAAAAATGTGTTTTATTAAGTTGGAATGCTGATTGCTGTTCTTTCACATGTTCTCTGTTGCTCTTTTTTTCTATCCCCTCAATAAGGCAAGCATGCCATGAGATAACATTTGATGGACCAAATCTTGTCTAGTCCATTTTGTGCCGAGATTTGCCATTTTGTTTTTCATTCAGATTTGAAATTTGTCTCTTTTCCTTTTGCATGTTAAAATCTAGCAGATCTGTGTTTTATTTTAAGTACTGATGCTTATATGTTGTTGTACTATGGGATATATAAAACGAGCTTCACGTCCTGTGTTTAGAGGTTACAAAAAGCAAATGTACTGTTTGTTGTTATAAAAGTTATAAAGACAATTTTACCGTGTGACCTGTGTATTTATTCTTCAGTTAATCTTCACTGTTAGCGGGTATGGCAGGGCTTCTAATTTAGTAAAAATGTGTGTATTAGAATTGCATGGTCCACAGTCAATTAGTAACCACAGAGACACTCTATAGACCTAAAAAGTTATATACACATACACACACTATATTGCCAAAAGTATTGGGACACCTGACTTAATGCGCACATGAATTTTAATGGCATCCCAGTTTTAGTCCGTTCAATATTGAGTTGTCCCACCCTTTGCAGCTATAATAGCTTCAACTCTTCCGGGAAGGCGTCCACAAGGTTTAGGAGTGTGTCTATGGGAATGTTTGACCATTCTTCCAGAAGCGCATTTGTGTAGGGCAGCAACAACTAATCAACATAATCGATTATTGAAAAAGTTGTCAACTTTTTCAATCATTGATTAATCAGCTTCTGATTGGTTGGCCCTGTTCACGGCTCCACACACGCTGCGCGCCACATCTCCTCCCACCTCACGCTCGCTGCTGCCAGACCCTCCCGGCCGCATCCACGCTCCACACGCAGCACCTCCTCCCCGCCTCACACTCACCGCCCGCCCACCTCCACGATCTGCACAGGGACGCGGGTAGAAGTAAGGAGGAGCAGGTGTGGGCGGATGACAGGCCCGATCTCAGAAACAAGTTGCTGGAAGACTGCTCAGGTAAGCCTGCACTTTCCCACACATGGTGCTCTATAATGTATTGCTGGGATTTGTATTCCTATATAGCTGATGGTACATTGTACTGTATATTATACCATCAGCTATAGAGGACTACAAGTCCCAGCAATACATTATACACTGTATGTATAATGTATTGATTTGATTTGTTGTATTCCTCTATAGCTGGTGGTGTTCTGCATTGCGCTGTATAGAGTACAACAAATCCCAGCAATAATATATTATACAGCGCAATGCAGAATACCGCCAGCTATAATGTACTATTGCTGGGATGTGTTGTATTCCTCTATAGCGGGTGCTATTCTGCATTGTGCTGTATAATGTACTATTGCTGGGATTTGTAGTCCTCTATAGCTGGTGCCATTCTTCATCTTTGCTGTATAATTTTACATTTAACTATATTGCACACCACACTTTTTTTTAAATTTATTTTATTTTATTTTTTAATCGGCTAACTAATCGATTTTTGAAAATAATCGTTAGCTGCAGCTCTACATTTGTGAGGTCAGGTACTGATGTTGGACGAGAAGGCCTGGCTCACAGTCTCCGCTCTGATTCATCTCAAAGGTGTTCTATTTGGTTGAGGTCAGGACACTGTGCAGGCCAGTGAAGTTCCTCCACCCCAAACTCGCTCATCCATGTCTTTATGGACCTTGCTTTGTGCACTGGTGCGCCTTCATGTTGGAACTGGAAGGGGCCTTCCCCAAACTGTTGCCACAAAACCACAAGTTGGGAGCATGAAATTGTCCAAAATCTCTTGTGCTGTCTTAAGAGTTCCCTTCACTGGATCTAAGGGGCCAAGCCCAACCCCTGAGAGAGAGAAAAAAACCCCACACCATAATCCCCCCTCCACCAAACTTTACACTTAGCACAATGCAGTCAGGCAAGTATTGTTCTCCTGGCAACCGCCAAACTCGGACACTTCCATCGGATTGCCTGACAGAAGCGTGATTCGTCACCCCAGAGAACACGTCTCCACTTCTCGAGTCCCGTGGCGGCGTGCTTTACACCACTGCATCCACTTTGTATTGCACTTGGTGATGTAAGGCTTGGATGCAGCTGCTCGGCCATGGAAACCCATTCCATGAAGTTCTCTACGCACTGTTGTTGTGCCAATCTGAAGGCCACACGAAGTTTAGAGGTCTGTAGATATTGACCCTGCAGACTGTTGGTGACTTCTGCGCACTGTGCACTTCAGCATGCGCTGACGCCGCTCTCATTTTACGTGGCCTACCACTTCCTGGCCAGTTGCTGTTCCCAGTTGCTTCCACTTTGTTATAATACCACTAACAGGTGACCGTGGGATATTTAGAAGCATGGAAATTTCACGGATGGACTTATTGCACAGGTGGCAACCTATCACGGTACCACGTTTGAATTCACTGAGCTCCTGAGAGCGACCCATTCTTTCACAAATGTTTGTAGAAGCGTCTGCATGCCAAGGTGCTTGATGTTATACACCTGTGGCCATGGTGGTGATTGGAACACCTGAATCCAATGATTTGGAGGGGTGTCCCAATACTTTTGGCAATAGAGTGTATTTACTCTGTCATATATACATTAATAAATAAACTGCAATAGGTGTAAAGTGCAGAACCATCGGCTGGACTCCAACAAACAAAGCTGACACTTCAGTGATTGCCACTAAGCCCTCTCACATGTCTGTTGGCCGACTACTATGATGGACTGGCCACAGAGAAGATCACTCAGATACATTAAAGGCTTTTTTTCCCCTCCCCCCCACGTTAATTAAAGCACTTACCTTAAATGATGTCTCTAATCCGATCTTCTTCTTTCCTGTCGTTTTCATCTGTCCCTCCATCACTGCGGCGGGTCTCTGATCCAGCGCTGACTCCTCTGAGCTTGCTGGTACTTCCTGTCCCACGGTGTCTGTGCGGGTGCACGCGTCCATAGACTTACCTTGCGTCTCTCCTCGCGTCCCGGCCGAAAATCCGAACTGCGCCCGCCCCAAGATGCTTTGCGGACACCCGAGATTTTCACATTTTCGGATGGGAGCGCGTGGGGAAGACACCAGTAAGTTTAAACCACTGTTGAAGTGTTTTTTGTTTTTAACTTTTTGCAAATATCTACTGCTTGCTTAGCCATAGATATATGCAACAATACCTGAGGGTTTAGAAACCCTTAATCTGATCACTGGCGGAACTACCAGGGTCGCAATTGCGACCGGGCCCTGGCGTTCTGCCTGTTGGGGGGGGCCCAGAGAGGAAGCAGAGGGCCTGAAAGCTTCCTCATGTCCCCCCCTCCAGATAGCTCCGCTCTGCATGTACGAGCGGCTGTGTGGGGATAGAGAGGCGCCTCTGTGTTTCACTTGTCTGCCTGGCGGGGCTGCTACCGACACAGCAGGCACCGCCAGCCAGCACATTCTTCAGCTGGGACTGGGACAGGAGGAACCCTCTTCACTCGGCCGCGCTCCCTGGCCGCCAAAGACGAGGAAGCTGAGCGGCTGTAGGAGTCAGGTAAGTCCGGTGTGGGGGGAAGGGATGGGTGCGAGTAAGAAGCTGCTGCTGATTTTATATATTTTTTTCCAAAATATATTTTTAATTTTTATCATTTCCACAAATTACAATAAACACACAAAAGACAAACTGATTTTATATTTATTCACATTATAATGTATTGCTGGGACTTGAAGTCCTGCATAGTTGGAGCTATTCTGCGTTACTGTATAATCATTA